ATCCTTTACAACTGGTGAGGAGGTCCGTTTCGCACCGGATGGTTGCTACAGTCTTCGCAATCAAGCCTACAGCGTTAAAGAGAAAGCCTTTAGAACATCCCTCTGAGCCAACTTCTTCCCCGTTAAATGCTCGAAACTATGAAACCATCTTCCTGTTGACATCGGAGCTCCCGGCTCAACTATCCAGTTTAGTCGTATGTTAGGAAGGTTCTTATTCCCCTACAAACTCTGCAAAATACAGTGAATCTCAACTATGTCCCACAACGCTCAGTACAATAGGCCTCTTAAATGCGTGAGGTGACATGCCCTGATCGGTAAGCCCACACACTCTTCTCATCACATCTCATGGTCAAGTTTACAACAGTTAGGACTACTTCGCCTATTAAGCTGCCCAACTGTGCCTCCCACTTACTGCCATCACCAATGGAGACATCTGCGGATCCAGCCCCTCAAAAAAGCATTTCCACAACGCAGTGAATAGCATATTTCTAATAAGAATATACACATGAAATCTAAGACTATACATTTAATAGTGGGCGTGTCACCATGTATATAAGTTAAAATTTACATATAACTAACTCTCTTGTACTTTGTATCCCTCTCTCCGTTTTCTCTATTCCTATCGTAAGTAGGATCTTGGAAACCTGCGATTGCATTGGAATCAAGATACTTCACCAGTACCACTCTTAAATATCGCTGCATCCGTCTTCAAGCAACTCCTCCACAATCGTGCAACCTACGATGGACATCTTTGTGGCACCGCACGAATATGCTTCTGCGGCGTTGCACGTTACGGTTCCGTAACGTTTGACTAACCCTCCCTAACTTGATGTTCTCTGGTTCCTGCTTTGCTAGCACCTTACCTAATCCGTATGTACTGGAGTCAAAACACAAATCAAAAGGACTTGTTCGGGAATATATTTGAGGAAGTAACGTATTTAATGATAGTGTGTGTGGCAGTAATGAACGGGGGAGACGTTTGTTCAGCTCATCTGGCTGGTATGGCTGAGCCAGTGACTCTGAGTACGTGCGTGCTAACCAGCACTGAGGAAGCGCAAGACGGCGTCCAAGCCTGCTCGCATGGATGCTCGTTAAAAAGAAGCTTGAAACGTCTGGAGCATCCGGAGGCGAGCTAGAGGTTCATTTAATTAATATAATTTAATCGATTTATTTTGGCTCGGGTTTGTACTTTGGTGCCGGGTAGGTGCACTGCACTTCCTTGAAGGATCTTGACACTACAGCTGGAAACAGGATACAAAACTGCAGAAAAATACTCAGAAAGTTATGTGCGAAAGCGGATTGTTTTACTCGACCTCGAAATTCAAAGGAATTTGGCCAATGTTCACCCAGCCGCCAAGCGCGATGCACAGCATCATTGTGGCTACGGTGGACATATGTCCAATCTAGCATGAGGAAACAAAAATAGATCGTTTCATCAGGAAGGTTATATATTGGTTTCAGTATTGTTTGTTATCGTCCGTACGATGTATCTTGACTTTTCAATGAACCTGGTATAGTGGAAAAGTAATCTGGAAACCCCTCCTTGTCACCCTGTTTGACGGCATTGACATTTATTTGAATATGTTTGCACTTGTTGTGGACAGTGTGCCTTTGACCCTAGCCAATGTAATGTTATTTGATAGTTTAACTGTCTAACTGTTTAACTGTCTTCTCTGACTTTGCACTCAGCATTTGCCTTTGCATGATTGGGATTGCCATGAACTTCTCACTAACTCATTGTGTGACGCCGGACTGGCGACAACGCGGCATTCCTGATCAAGTTGCCATTAGTGGTTAGAAAAGGATGTGTGACGGAAAACAACCTGATCTTTGACGCCCCAAAACATGCTGAAAATGGTACTTGCTTGTTCACTTTGTAACTTGTGGAATCTTCTGATGTTTTCAGTCGAAGTGATGACCTACCTTCTGTACCATTCAGGTCCGGTAAAGTTTTGTGGATTTTGCGACATTTATTAATGTAGTGATGCCTGTAAACTGGCTTCTCTCGTGTTAACTTACCAAGGTGAGGATAAAATATTTATTTGTTTTCTTGTTACACACCTCTCAATGAGCTTTACTCCTTCCTTACTATATGGTGTGACGGCAGTTGCGTCGATACCCTTTACTGGATGTTCGTCAAGGCGTTTGGGCTTGTTTGTTTGGCGTGTTTCGGGCTCGGGTCCGGATAGCTTACCGAAGCCTAGTTCGTTGGCCCTGACGCTGGCAGCCTTTGGGCAGGTTTTTTCCCATTTCATATGATTTTCTCAACTGTTCGGCTCGCCGAACTGGGTAGGGCCCACATACTGCAGGTTTGTTCGGTGAGTGTGAATTCTCCACTCTAGCTCATTCCACCGGAGGTTGACCGTCCCACTGTTGGTACTTTTCATACTGGATCTGCCAGCCCTGGGGATACGTGTGCCTGAAGATGCCCGTTTTTAACTGCTTAGTATATTTTTTCCAAGTCGCTTTCAACAAACCTCGTGGTTACTCAATGCTGCCGACTTGTGACATGTCATGGAACATTCCTCAAATTTCGTACGGCTACCTGTGTGTCAATAGATGTCGTTTCGTCATCACTACCACAGTTAAGACCTTTCTCTTCCGACGCTAGTTTTTTTGCCATCATATTGAGAATTGCTTTTGCCCCTTCCGCTGGCCTGCGAATTCCCAGGCAGTACAGAAAGCAAAGCCGGACACCCACTGAGCTACTGTACCTCTTATATAAATAAATGAGTGAACAGTTCACCCTCATATAAGTAATTTGAAAACGGGAGATGCCAGTTTACATGCATCGCCATATTGATATATATTGAAAAACTCGCAAGGTTTTATGGGTTCTGAATACCACAGAATGCGGGTCAACAAATTCTATCAAAAGCACCAGAATATCGTGCTAGGCATGGAACCAAAGAGAAAATGCTGCTTTTTAGCTCATGCATAGTGTTTAAGTTCAGACATAAATGATTCTTACTCTCATTTAACTGATTTAACATGAGAGATACCAGTTTACGAGCACCGTCTAACTGATAATTCTTGAATTTTGCGGAATGGTATTTGGTATTATATAATTCATATACCAGGTGACTGATGTGTATAATCCAATTAAAACTTGCTGCAATTCATGAGACGGGTGGGGATTTTTATCTTCCATCCAACAGATAGGTCCCACTACCAGGACTAAAAGAGTACAGTGCACGAAGATTGCGTTATAGACAGCTGGCATTGTTAGTCCGTTTGCATAGTAAGTAATAAATAAATGAACATTCAAAATTTTCCAAAAGTAACTGAGTGACCCGGCGCCAAGTTTCCAGGGATCACCACTGAATAGTTGTTTATCTTCGACTGGAAGATGCCTATTTTCACACTAGCTTACAAAATCCATGGCCAACAATCTGCATGTGAAGTCATCACTGCCTCATGAAAGTTAAAATTCCAAAGCTCCCAATTTCCTACGGAGGCCGTGTTCTCGCTTGTCCTGTCATTCACTTCATATTCCGCCTTTAAATAATGACCAGTTAAATGAAATTTAGGGCTGAATTTGTCGGAGAAGTGCTGAGATGAGCTGGATTGAGGAGATGAAGGTAAATTGAGTCCGCGGTATGCTAATACCTCAATAATGTACCGGCCAGTTGTAAGGTACTCAGCTAGGGTTCAGACTACCAGGTTTCTAATCCCATTACTCCTTCATTTGTGTTTCCGCCAACCCCTTCAGTAGAGTAGTACCTTCTCGAAGTGGGTACGCCTGTTGATAAAGCCATGGATGCAAACCATAAAGTCCTTTGAAACACCCTTTGTGTCAACTGTCCTTTTTTGGTATAAATTCGGGTGTCATGCGGCTAGTTCTCTGATGGTACACAGTGCACAGAGACGTAAGCATACCGATAAGGCATTGCTTCAAAACACCGGAGTTCATTCAATCTAACACAAGCTATTTCAAAGGTTGTTATTCACCATCATTATTTCACATTTTCTGAAGCCTGTCCTATAGGGTTCATTTGTACACCTTCTTGAATCTACGTTTGCTCGTGCCCGCCAAAATCTTGAGATCATCCGAATATTGCATAAAAATTAGACATAAAGGTGCATGTAAGGTATGAAAGAACCACTTTAAAGTGACAGTGAGCTAAGTGTGGAACCGCGTACAATTTTAATGACTTTCTTGCTTCATTGCTTCATGGAAAAACAAATGCTAGCGGCTAGAGGCCAAGCTTTCCCACAATCCCTCAACTTATCTTAGAACGACATCACCATTTACAAAATTTACTGTATTGATAGAGTAAGGCTCCCCTATACCCTATTGAGAGGTTTAAGAAATCCAAGCGGTTCCATTATTACAGAATTCTCTCAGTCGCCTGAGTACAATCGACACGAGATGTCAGCAAGATGGCGTTATAGAACTAATTCAGTCTAGAAGCAGATTTTCAGTACGACAACACCCAGCTCTACGAAAGAAAGATGTGGAAGGATTCGTTAGCAACTTCTGTCATGACCTTAGCAGTGGGTGAGATGAAGGAAACAGGAGCTTAGTTTGGCGCAGATTGCTTAGCATGGACTTTGTGAATTGCTGTGGAAACAGCCATACTCCAATCAAAAAGTAGTAAGTTTTCAACGATGATTCTTGAGAAGTGGCTGTCAGGGGAAGTCCTAAAACGTTTTCTCCACCACTTGCGGTGTTTTAAGATGGGTTTTGTGTTACTAGTGCCTATCATGTATTGTGAAAACCATGTAGACCCTTATCCCTTCACTGCAGCTTGTCCATTAGTCATTTCTGAGGATGCTTTGTGATCTTAGGATTGCAGTTATCCGGTAACATTTTGAAATTTTGCCGATCAGCTATTTTATATGCTACATGCCGCAAGTTCTATGCTGTGTGTTTTCAGATAACAGCCTTGTGAGTCATAGATATAAGGTTTAGAAGGTAGACTCAATGTATATGTATGATTGTTTTCATTGGACAAAGAAAGTTGTTGTCTTTGTTTGTATATGTTAAAAGTAAGGTTCACAAACAGCGGTTTTTCGACTCACATAACTCGTTCATGTGTTCGGATGATGGATTTACACATATTGACTTTGTTTTCAATAATTTCTCTTCTAGTCAAAGGTATGTTGATGAGTTTTCAATCTTAAATTCAGTTTCTACTGAAATTACATTCTCGGAGGACTATTCATGTGAAAACACTATATGTAATCCTCGAGCTGGTGACCTACTAATTGGCCGAGAAAGTTCACTTATAGCCTCATCAACCTGCGGACTGACTGAAGTTGAGGCATACTGTGTAGTCACCACCAGTGGGAAAAGTTACTGCAAAGAGTGTACTTCTAAGCAGCCATATAACTCCATAACGAATCCTGAAAGTCATAGAATCGAAAACGTTGTTTCACGTGTTCCAAGCAATCCTGGAAGATGGTATGTCATTTTTTGTTTTATTTTAGATTATCACCTGCACAAGGGTCTTTTTAAGTGGATCCATAAGCAATATCATTGTCTTCTTTGAGAGATTATACGCCTCAACGACAGACGTGGTTCTAATAGACGTAATACTAGCCGGTAATTAGTCGTACTTGCATTTAAGATGAGTAGTCATCGATATTTGAGTAGCCAAAGTGGAGAATAAGCGTATATTTTATCCCAGAGTGTGTATCTTGAGGTTAGTAGATTTCATTCGTTATTTTGACCTATACTTTCTGTCGAGTGAAGACAAACAAAGTGACTTAAAAAGTCAGTCAATCAGGGTTATTAACCCCCGGTTTACTAATTGTGTAAAAGTCAGTATGGGTTCTATCACCGACTTGAGAGTCATCCCAAACTGCTTTTGCTTCTCCCTCGCGTAAAGTGTTTAACATAAGAATGCATTCACGCCTGACTGAAGACATCGCTGTTTTAGTGTTCTGATTGCCCCTGGTGAAATGATATGGTTGGATGCATATATATATATATATATATATATATATATATATATATATTAGTATGTGGTAAAAGAATGAAGTTTGTTCACCAATATTTGCCTATTTCTTTCGGAAGTTACCGCCAGATGATCCTGATGATTCAGTCTATCTCACAACAATGTTCATATGCACTTTTGAGACAAATTTTATTCAATGGTTTTACAACTTATCATTTATCTCTTAGGTGAAACTAACTTTTGGCATTTTCCGTGGAATGTCTGTAGGACTTCATTTTGTGAACTATCAGCCCAGCTTGCGGTTTTTATCTCACTCTTTCACACTTTTTGGATGTCTGTGCGTATTTTAAAGAACTTCTTCTTCTTCTTCTTCTTGCCTTCAATCTGTGAGTGCTTCTGATCTTCTTTTAAGCCTTGATAACCACTTTTCAAGGATAGAAGTTTATCTAGTCCTAAGATAACCTATTCCCACACGCTAGCCAACTGAGATCTATGTCTTTCTTTCTGTCTTCTCAAACTGGAGAAATTGTTGCATACCCCACGTAACAAAATTCATATTTCTTAACGATTAATGTATGTATCAGTACCATGGTAATATTGAAAGTGGTTTTGTTGATACACATTGGATAGCGAGCAGTTTAAATGATCATGCCTTTCTGAATCCTGTGGCGTTTGTATTTGGGTTAACCTGTCATTGTCGTGTGTTCGATTAGCGCATGTCGGTTAGGATAAGGCCTGTAACATGCTGGTCAATCACAGATCTGACTCATGTCGGAACGCGTTTGGAGCTACTACCGTTGCACACAGTCAAACCAGAAAAGTGGTCACTAACAAAAGAATGTTTTTAATTTTGTGAAATGTATGCGGAATGTAACAATGCGTTTCTGTTTCCTGATTTCTGTGTCAGGATTTCGCCTTTGTGCCAACTATCTAGTTGATACTAATACGGTCATAATTATGGGGAAAAATTTGCTCAAACAGCATTATTTGCTGGAGTTTGAATATGCAGCAAAGATACAAACTTCGTGATGCCTACCTACTCCAACTTTTTATCTTTAGTCTTTGTCTGAGATGATTTTTTTTGAATTTGTGGTATAATTATGTACCTTATACTGCACCCTGAAATGTTTGTTAAGTGATAGACAAAACATGAAGGAAATCATTCTCATGTTTCTGACCCTGTAGTTGTTAAGGAAATTTTGTCAGTCTACTTTGACGAATCGCTGCTGCTTTGATATGGTTATCGAGCTTGCTTATCATAACGACCGAGCAACTTATGCTAGTGTAAGGCTTGGTATCTCGAGGTTTATTCTAATAGAAAGGTCAGTTGGTTAGTGGTATGATAAAAGCATTTAACTTCTTAGTGTTAAAAGCTGCCTTGTGCTAGGGTTCCCAGGGAAAATCCAAACCGCTGGCTAAATTGCTTTGACAGCGGTAAAGAATTTCCTGATGATGAACAGGAGTAGCATGCTGATGCTGTTTCAACATGAGAGGAAGCATTCGAAGATATCTTCCCCAAAAGTAGTGGAGTTCCTTCTATCCCACATCATACAGCGTCGTGGATACGGGTTTACGCTCGGACTAATCAACCAACAATATATCAAATTCCGACGAGATATCGGTGGTTAGGTTCAAGGAAATGTCGCTAGGGTTCTGCAGTCGTACACCAACCTTCCTTGTCAGGTGCTTCAGTTAGAACTAACCCTTCGTGATTTGGGTTGACGAGAATTGCTATCCCTTTCAATGCTTGTAATAGCATACAAAATTGAGCAAGTTATGGTTTACCGTAGTAGTTCTGAAGTTTTCAAATCCTAATTGAATGCGGAATCGTACAGTATGCATCTCTTTCTACAACTCCGGAATCTCAAGTGATAGATTTATTCTGTTTCTGGATTAGGCATAAAGGAGATGAGTGCATTTATTGACCTAATCTCACACGGGGAATGCGCTGTGTCTCTGCATTTTACCTTACAAATCTCTAGAGATGCAATAGTTAGCTGTCGCGGACTCGCTGCTGTTAGCATGGCATTTATTTACCCGTCAGAAACCTCATTTCTGGACTGACACCAGTCAACAGCCATTGTATGCCATCTGACTGAATGAATCTGATAGATCATGGAAGTGCTTTAGTGCTTACCAATGCCCATTCATGACCTCGGTATATGCAACCACCGAGTGTAGTTCGAATGATCCGAATTCTGTCAGAAACTAGCAATTTTGCTAAATAGAGGAGAACGTCTAGATATAGTCATAATGACAGGCGACATTAACATCAAATAAGAAGGCTAATCCAATCTTAAAGGCATATTGGAGGTATCTAAGTGGTCTCATCCCAATAAACCGACAACACTTACCGTCTTGTACAATTTTGTTTTGACATGCAATTTATTTTTGGTCGGTACTAACTTCAAACATAAGGAGAGATGGTGTCTCACATGGCGCCAGCCAACAGCAAACCAACGATGGATACACGTTGGTTATACTGCTACAGGCCATCGTTGGAGGGAATTGGTGGGGGATTACTGCTGTTTCTGGAGTACATTTTTGAACTTCGATCACGCGCTAGTACGGACACTCTTACATCTGCACCTTGCTGGTTACAGAAAACCAACTATGGTGAAACCTATTTGTGCTTGTTTAAAGGATAAGAAGTTGACGTACCCATTCAGGAGGAGTGAGCCAAGCGTTTATCTGAGCGTAACTGTAATATTCCTCCTGAGGAATCCTGGCATGATATAAGTCTAGTGTAGAAACAACGATGTATACATTGGCGACTTACATCCAAAGGTTATCAAACGTCCATGGACTTCAACAACGTCATTAGAACTGACTAGTATGAAAGACTCATTCTAGCTAATTCTGACTATACTGAAGAGCGTAAACGATTTAGATGTAAGTGGATCAAGAGTATTCTCAATGATCTTCAGCAGCTGAGGGTGTCAAAATCGAGATAGATAAACAAAGTATCAGCATGAGATAATACCTGATAACTATTTAGGCTTGGTTAGGATCTAGTTTATATTACTTTCTCTGACTTCGGGGCGCTTAATCGAGAAGCTTTCACTGTGTTTCTAGATAACATCCTCAGCACTAACTCTAACATTCAGTGAGCTATCTGGATTTATCCCAATTTGATTCAGTAGCTTTACGCGAGAAAGTGATTTGTGATTTGCAGTTTCCTTGGATTGTCATGTTATTTACTTCGTGAGTTTCCTTACTGGGATTGTCGCTGCCTGACGTCTAACCTTTTAGTTGTTTACCACTTTTCTTGTTGTTTGATAGTTTGGGTCAGTCTATGCACTTATAGCTGATTGACCTAAATTCCAAACTTCTAAGAATTCTCTCATATTCTTTGAGTTTCCTCTCTGCAAGACCCCCACATCTTCACATCCATGGTCGTTCACGTGCACTGATATGAATGACAAAATGTCATGAAGTTTAATAACCAACTGATGTTCACACAAGCGAAATTGAAATAGGTGGCCACTTTGTCCAATGCAGCGCTGTACACAGGTGTTGCAATTGATTTCACAAACGATATTTGGTTTGTCCTCTGGGTATAGGCAAGAAGATGGTAGTTAGTTTAATCATCACTGGAAGGGGTGAGGCCTTAATAATCGTTCAGGACAGATAACTAGAAGGACGGGCGAAACAGTTTGAATAGCAGTTCATCTGGCCTACACCAATGCCTAAGTTGTCCAGCGTTCAGGTCAAATCTGAACGTGATGTAGATTTTGGCTCCTCAACTCTCCTTGAAGATAAAAATGCTGTTTATAACCTGAATTAATGCAAAACAGAACAACATCACGGTTTCCTAACAAGAATTCTGAAGAATGGAGGCGTTAAATTAATGAGCAGAATAAAGAAGGCAATAGGTAGTGTATAGGAACCGGAGGTAGTCCCATCGAAAAAGTCTACTTCACTGATTATTACAGTGTATAAAAAAGGAGAGAACTTTTGTTGCGATAAGCCAGGAAGAATCAGTTTGACTAGTATTGTTTCCAAGATTTTTGAGTCTATAGTTATCCAACACTTAACTGCAGCTCGAAAACAAAAAACTCGAGAAAACGAGGCAGACTTTTGACCAAGAGTAAGGTGCACCGATCAGATATTCACCTTTTGACATTTCCTGGGACGCAGGAACATTATTTGGCAGCTGAAACTTATCATATCTCTTGACTTGATAGCAGCAGTTACTCTGTTGACCTTGAGGTGTTGTATCAGTGTTTAACTATGAAAAGAGTGCCAGGTTATTACACAGCGCTAATCAACGCTCTCTACTCGGCTTCACACAGATACTTAAGGGCTTGTGGAGAGTTGTCATCTATAATGAAAGCATCCAGTGGTGTCCACCGGGGATTCCCACTGTCCCGTCGCTTTTTAGCTTCATTATCGACGTACTATGGATATAACCTTAGTTACATCTGACTTAGCAGGTATTAAACTTCTCCTTGGAGGTCATCTGGTTGAATTGTAGTATCCGGACGATACTGTCCTGTTAATTAAAGATGCTAACAAACTGCAAAGTGTTGTAATCACGTCGAGGAGAAATCTGAGTATGTTTTGCATGTTTTTCACATCCTTCAAGTGCAAGATGTTGCTGCAGGAATGGTCTGCAACTACTCCTAGTTCTTTGATAGGACGTGAAGTGATGGGGTGCTTTGATCACCCTTCTTACTTGGGAGTTCCATCAACCAGAACAGGATGGCTGCTGACAGAATCTCAGCATGGATACAGAAGGTCCAGTTGGCATTGACTAACTTGCAGCATCTCCGGAGCCGACTGGCGAGATATCCAACTATCTATCAAGGGACGAGTATCCTGTGCTGCAGTTGATTCTGTCCTCTTACACGGCTGAGACATAGCCGTTTATAGTGGAAGATTTAGGGCGGTCACAGGCTTTTCACCGTAGGTGTCTTTGAAGTATTGCTTTCGGTGGGTGGAATCATTGTGTCAGGCAAAGGGTACTAGGTGACAATGGAAGGTCAATCGATGAAGTTGTGAACCTTTGGTAACTGAAGTGGATTGGACATGTGCTGCAATGTCGAGCTACCACATACTTTGGTATGAAATGCTAGGAGAAGTTGGTTTATGTTAGAAGGTCCAGAATGGCCAGAACAAAACGTGGCATTAATCCATGAAGTCCCTGACTGCTGTGTGAGCGGTGCACGAGGTGTGGACCATCCGGTTGGGGGTTCACAAGACGATAGAAACAATTGGTTGCACAATGGCGCAGGTGTTTTCACTTTCTGACGTCTTCTAAAGCCTAATGATTTTCTCTAACCCTGATTTACAACTTCCTTCTTCACTCATGCACCTTTGTCTATATTGATATCTTTATTTTCCTACCAACTTGTTCTTTGCATGCTGTTGGGAAATGTGTTAACTTGGATCGATTCACCTCTGTGGGAGTTGTCACGTTAGTTTTATGTCCGTATGTCTGTTATTTGTCCTGTCGTCAATTCATACACTTAGTTGCGTCTTTCACTTTTGAATCTACTTCCGCCAGTCACTGATTGCTTCTCTTCAGTTCAACGTACCATATTATTACGGTCAATATATAACTCCTTGTAGTCAATGAAATAAGATTATCTCTTTATGTTTTCAAAGTGACAATAGTTGTATGAACTGTACAACATTTTACTGATATTTATGGCCTAATGGAGTTATATGTCGTTTCATTATTGACTTTTTATTGTGATCACTTCAATTTACTTCTTTGTACTTTACAATCTATGCTATTTATGTCCCATATAAGAGAAACCTCATCATCATAAGGCTTTTAAAATTTCTAAAAGATTCCCACTGTTGTATAACGGTTTATATTAGCTTGGTTTTCGACTTTAACTTTATCAAAGGTAGTCAGTATCCCACTTTCTAGTGGTTAATAAATAAGGTGGTAAGTATACAGAAGTTTATTATATAGCATTTAGATTTCAATTTTTTCTGAAATCTTGATAGACAGTTAGTGGTAGATATGCATCATTAGTATTTTTGGCTATCATTGATTTTTAATACATTTTTCATGAATTTAATTTGATACTATCACCTTACGTGTTACTGTTTCAAGCATGTGACTCTGGAGATTCAGCCTTGACGCTGATCTTACACATGATTAATCTCGTATATACTTACCCATTCTCGTATATTCACTCCACCCACAAGATGAAGTACTCAATTTGGCCCTCACAACCGCATACAATAGAATACAAAGTCTGGGGCTTATTTTCTGTATACTCCAAGCGATCTAGTTCTTCTACATATACAACTAACTTACCTGACAAACCACTACACACCATAATTTATGAAAGTGAGACAACCAGTTCCAAGCACAAAAAATAAGATAATGCGAAATAGATGATGTCATTCAAGGTGTAGTTGTTTTCGAACTATTAGTCATACATGAATGAGTGAAGAGGAAATCGTAGGTGCGTACTCCTGTGGAATTCCCTAATACATGGAGAGAAACAGCTGTCCACTACTCCCAGGTTTTAAGTGGTTCTCCAGTCTGAAAATGCAAAAACACTTAGCTTTTTTCAAAATTTGATAAATGCTTATTCATCTAATTACCTGCTATGGATTGGTTACTTAGTTCTACTGTATAGATGCACTTAATTACAAGTAATTGCTGGTTATACTCGAATTAGGACGAATGCTGTCTGAAATTTATTTTAGATTTATGTGGTGACGAGTCTAAAACGTTAAATATTCAAGTATTTCCAGTATAGTGATGTTTAAGGACTGATTCAAATCCCCTATGAATAAATATTCTGTGATCATCGTCCAACCTATTTAAGGACCATCTAGGAAACTGTTAAAAAATCATCAGATACTAGACGATACTGTTATGATGTCTTAGTTAAAACAATTTGTTTAAATTGTTCAATGATCTTATGACTTTATATTATTACTTGAATGTGTTTTAGGTGGCAGTCACAAAATGCAGTTCATAATGTTTCAATCACTCTCAATTTGGATACACAATTTCAGTTTATTTCAACAATTTTACGCTTTAAAACATATCGACCAGCAGCTATGTACTTGGAGCGTTCATATGATTTTGGACGTACATGGGCACGATATGCTTATTTTTCAAATAACTGTAAACGTGATTTTCCAACTGTACCTGAAGGACCACGTCGATTTTTAACTGATGTCACTTGTACTGGAGTTTATAGTCAACTTACACCATCAGAAGGAGGTGTGGTATGTTCAATAAATTTACTAATTTATTCCATTATTTTCTGCTAAACAATATTCTTTATTTCAAGTTGTTATTCATCGTAGACTGACATCAGTTAGGGGAACAAAGGAAGCCCGGGAGCACTGGAAAGTCGGCCATTTCGTCCTAGGATAGGACTCCTCAGCAGTGCACAACCACGACCCCACTAGAGGTCGAACCCGCGACCTCCAGGTTCCGTGGCAGGCACGTTACCATTGAGCCACTGGGTTTATATATATATATATATATATATATATATATATATATATATATATATATATATATACAGCTGTTACAGATCCAATGAAAATTCAAAAAATATTGGACTAAATATGAAAATTGAATGGGCTAAAGGTATTGAGAACATTTGTAGCTCAGGATGAGGATGATAATTGTTTTGGTATTTTCCAGGTTTTTGAAGTTTCTTCTTGGACAATTCATCACCAGACTACACGTCTTTATCAGTGAACTTGCGGCTTGCTATTATAAAGAGTTGGTTTTCAATCAGTGGGTCATGGGTTAGAATCCTGGTCTACCTGCCGAGGTGGTCTGTGCAAGCCCTGTACACACAGTAGGTGTGGCTCATTGCCTACTGAGCAAATATGGACACATATGTAGAGTGGATTTCTTTTACTTTAACTTCATCAACTGTTACTATATAGAGTAAGGGATGATGAATTCGTCTGGCTCGGTAATGAAACCTCTAAGAAAGAAACTCTCAAAGCTTGCGGAGAACACTAAACAGTTATCATATTAAAGTTATATTGCACTGTTATGGACAGAACAGAGAGTAATCTAATAACACTATAAGACCAAGGGACTAGGAAGAAGTTGCCTGAAACATAATAACAATAGAATAAACATCAAAGTGTTGACCAATTGTCCAAGTGAACAAATTTAATAATGATGAAGAACAAATGGTTGATGAATTAAAACAATCGCTTGTGAACAAGGGATGTGAATGAGTTCGCGTAACTGCAAATTATACTTCCAAGAGTAGAATCCATCAAGCATAACGGGAAGGTCAGTATGCAACTAATGAATGTCACTTTCTCACCAGAAATTAACTTGTAATATATAACCCAGGCAGTGAGTTACAGTCCGAAAGAAAAAACTTCTTAGATTCGGAGTTAAATACCACAGAATGGCTTTCTGTCAGTCTCATCAGCTACCATCATCACTATGGACCAACTTAACCCAAAATTCAATGCTTCCACCTTGCTTATCAATTTCTATAGTTTACTCTATGTCGGTATGTTTGAGTTAACAACTCTTGAGGCTGGTAATCATTAGTTCATTAAACTCTCTTAAATGGCGTCTAATTTTTTCTATCTCTATTACTAGACAATCTAGCCAGTAACATTTAAAATTGTTATAAATACTCATAAGATTTCCGGAATAAAGCTTCACAAATCGATTGAATAAGATCTGATGGAAATGTAACCTCCATTTGTATAGTTCAATAATTTCTTATTCTACCGCCTCTGTTAAACAAGTTATATGCACAAACATGGCTTGGCTTTTCTATGGCTTAAGTAACAGAGAAGAAATAACTACTTAACTTTGTTACAAAGTCACTTTGTGAGTAAATTGATCGTACCCTGTTTACACAGTATAATAAATAATCAATAAGCAACAGTGTAATTCACGATATACTTTTTAAGTCTTTTTGAGACATAGAAACAGTGTTCTTTGGCATTCTAAGGAGTATCAATATTCACATAGGTACTCTCATTCATCACACAACTATTGAAGTTCCATATACTCAAGTTCATTCCAATAATGTAACCTAGTTGGTTCAAGGTATTTGAAATTTACGCCTGAATGTCATTTCGCTCCAGTTTACTCAGGATAGCCAAAAATACTACTACTCAACAACTCGAGTAGTTAGAAACCACTCAGGCTAATCTGTAGTATTTCCTCAGTAGGATTAGAGTGGTCTAAACATCGGACTGCCATTTCGCTCATTTGAAGCTCAGCCCATCAGCGATGTTTTCGGACAAATTCAGGCCACGGACCAGAATTAGTTCAGATTACCTGGATCTGGCTAGCTGACTTACATTGGCCGGTATGCCTAAAATAAAATGATCAATTTGCAATTAGTAGGTCATTTGCAAATTGATCACCCTACTCAGGATAGCTTGTCTAACCAACCTTTAGATCATGACACCTGAAATGTGGCACTAGTCTATCAGAATATCGGTGTGAAATGAGCTAAAATTTATTTCTAATCGAACTGACCAACTTCTTTCTAGTGAAAAGAAAACTACCCTGATCACCTTTTTCACTGGTAACAAACAATTCAAAAGATCACTGTCCACATTTAATCAAATTACAAGTATCTATCTTTAATTGTTTTGTTTTGCTTTTCTTAAAAAATCTAATTTTATCAATAAGAATTGAGCAGAAAGCAAAACCCTACTTGAAAAAAAAATTAGCTTAGATTTATTTGCAACAAGACAGTCAGTGTGGTTAAATGCGCAATATCAATAGCAGTGCGAACGCACACAGGCCTACCTGCGAGCTCATACCCCACATGCTTATAACATTTTAATATAATAAATCATATATATAATAAGGATTTTGACGGGAATGTGAATTTGTAGTACCAGTCACCCAAAGTTTGAGAATACACACTCAAATAGACAGAATGAAACGCTCTCTATCTTGCATTAATTACTTTTATTATTGATAGCAAACTGTAGTAAAACTATTATGTAGGAAATGTGAATAATAGGACTATGTGATTGATACTAGTGTACTAGTTACTGCAATTAATGTGATTTATTATAGTTGATGAATTTCCTAATAACGGATTGACAATGAAGAATCAATCTCATCTGCATAACTAACGATAAAAATAACGAATTTACGGCATAGTAGACATTTTATATACAAGAACACTTCCTCATCGATGACAGTGGATAGAATAGTCACGTTATTTCGCAAGCTGACAAAAGTTGTAGAGCGTGGAACATTATATTTTAACCCATCAACCGACAGTTATCTCCCTACTATTAGTACTGACGACTCTAGATCCAATGAAGCATAGGGTTGTAGGTTCACACTGCCAACGAGTTATGAACTATTACGAAGTACCTTTCCCAGTCCTTGTTGTTACTCGAGAGGTGGTTGTATTTAAAATTTATAATGTCGAAAAGCGGACATGAATAGTGAGTGTGGAACTTAATCTTGAAAACTGCGCACTTTTGTTTTCATTTCTTTGTCGGTAAACCTTCAACAATACAAACTAGAAGTTTTCTACATGTTTTTAAGAATAACATATTGTATCCTGCAAACTTCACTGGATGAGTGTTCTGGAACTGTAGACCCACTGTCTAGTGAACCCTATTAAGGTGGTGGTCACCTTAGTGCTGGACCCCACATGAGCAGGTGAAAATCCGTCCTCCGTACATTCGTTCGTCACTTAAGCGACTCATGTAGGTAATTGGGAGACTAGGTACATAGAATGCTTCCTGACGACTTTCATCAGTCTACATTTTAAGCCCTAACAAAGACACACTATATATATATATATATATATATATATATATAAGGCTTCTTGTTACTCGGTAATGACTTTAGATGAAATGGAAACCTAGGTCACGAACGAGAAAATGCATTAAACAACCTTTTGTATGCTTGTGAAGTAAGCAATGAGCCACACTTATTGTGTGTGAGAGTTAATGACACAACACTACTGCCCAAACCTGGTAGGTGGGGCAGGTTTCGAACCTGTTACTTACCGGGTGAAAATCACTCCCTAAACCGACCAATGAGCCACAGCCCCACAGTTGGGTCATGACATGATATGAAGTATTAGGCCACTGGATCATCGACCAAATACTACAAAATAACCTACAAAATTCGGGTGATAACAGGTTTCTGTATTAGTTTTTGATGATTGCTAATTTTGTAATTTTTTATTTTAATCATGTGAAAAATCATATCTACAAATCTGTTTCTTCTGAGTGAAAAAAATGAGGATTCAGCTTCTTATCTTTTTAATATGAATTAAGCGTTGAAAATTGATTATCTGTCCATATCATGTAGATTTTCTAGGGAAGAAACGTCGAAAACTGAAACTGATATGGATTAGCGTTCGCTTTCTGATTTTTTAAAACAAAAGTTCACAATCAAGTACTTGTAAGTGGAAGAAACTGTTTGTTAAGTTATATAATCTATAACCAATGTCTTCATTACATCTAAACAGGTTGCATATATGGCTGCTCCGAGTGAAATGCATGAATCTTGGCCACAGTACAGTAAAGAACGTATGAATCTGACTGCAGTCACCAATCTCAGAGCGGTCTTCACCAGGATCAATACTCTAGGTAAGTGAATAATTGAAGAGGAATTTAACTAACCTGCATAATTTTCTTTTACCTTTTCTTTTATCTACCTCTTTTCTTGTTTACTATACAATCAAAACGTACCTACCTCATTTTAAATACTTCCATCTTATTCTTTTGATTATTCGTAGTGATAAATTCGATTCTGGTTTGTATAGATATTGTTTTCTGACCTCCTTTCTCAACATCTCTGTATGTTTGCATGTAGAAATCAAAATCACCTCCAGTAACAGGCATGTTAGATTTAAACAAAAATATATTGAACACGAGCAATAAAAAGTATAAGCACTTGAAAATCTAGATATTTTTGCGCCAATCAACATACATTTGATCATGATAATTTCGAAAACTTTTATTCTTCACTTTATTGTATGAATGCAATGCTAAGTTAAAGAGACGAATAAGTGTTACGCTGTTGAAGAGTTTCTGTTGTCAAAAATTTCCATTAAGAAAGATAGACAGTGTGATATTTAGCCCTTCGTCATTCTCAATCCACTAACAGATTTTCAAGAATTGAGCTACATCATGCATATTTCAATGTTATAAAATTTATAGTCTAATTCAGTGTCATGAATACTGTCATCTCTACTGTTCTACCCAACATTCAATACAATTTGACCAATATAATTCTTCATACTGTGTCATTTGTATATTTATTTAAAGTCTATGCTAGTATACATGCTTGTGTTTGTCTCTTAACCGGAATTCATTTTATAACAGACATCTTTCTAAATCTTCAGTTAAAGGATTGTCATAGAAACATATTGTTTAAATGTCCTACAGTTATGTGTATATACTAAGGAATTACAAGTCAACAAAAGTGAGATTTTGCTTTATCAGTTTGTGAATAATATTCATATACAGTTGAGGAAGTCAATTCAGGAAAGTTGTGTGTTAACTTTAAGGAACAGTATCAACGGTTACTGGAACTCAATCGAAAATAATAATTGATTATCTGAACGATTATACTGCATAGGTAATGCTATAAGGCAACGGCTTAATAAAACAATAGGAAGATGTTTATGAAAGCTGGATGAAATAAACTAAGAAAGATAATTTGAGTAATAATAGCTTGATGGAATGTTACTCATATTGGGGGACAAAATAGGTTAGAGAACTCTTAAAAACTATTTTACAACATAGCGATGAAGGGGTATCTACAGAATAGAATTAGAAAATTAGACCACCTTGGTTACGATGGGTTGCTGTAGCGGTTACACTTGCTTTTTCTGAACACATAACTCCGGTTGTTTGGTTCTGACCGCTCCTGCTTCAGCAGTGTGAAGGATTCACTGTCCGGTAGGTTGATGAGAACCAGTGTTTCAAGATAGCCATCTTTGTTCTGCCAGTATGAGTTGTCATTTCAGTACAAACATTCGTACTGTTGATTTGAGAAGATGAATTGATCAGCTTTTACAGACACACAAATCCTTTAACATTCATCACTTTTGGTCATATTGTGACAATTTTTGATAGTGGATAGTAACAGGATGAAAGTTCTCTCGAATTGATGAGTCGTAAATAAGACGGAACTTGTATCATTGCCAGATTTAATAGATAAGCATAGAAACTTGGCAATCAATCAATGTTCAACGTCTACCGTATAAGAAACAAAATTCAACGTTGAAAATAATTTCAACACTGAAGTTATTATAGTACAAATTGTGTTTATTTTAAATAGATATGCACATGTATAGATGTCCGCGTGATTTAGGGTCAAACAGTTCTACTGGTAGACTGTTTTCTTCACCTCTAATATTATGATATAATGTGAAAACATAAAACCAATGAGACATATATGTGTAGGTCTACTTATCAATTAGTACTTCCGGTCCAAATCCCATTCAGTATACAGCAATACTACCTGCGTATTGATAAGTAAGTATACTATCAACTAAGGCGGTATACAACAAAATCATTCATAGCCACATGTACATAAATGTATATCGGAGGACGAGTAATTTGTAAATTAGATAAGGTCACAAATTGGAATTTCCGCCAATATTTTGTTTAAGTAAATCCATTCAATTTTAATGTTCGGCGAAATTTTTATTCATTAGTATAAAATGTGTGTTAGTAAAGGAAAACATATTTGGTTACTAAAAACCGCTTCAAACTGATAGACACACATGGATACACATTCTTAATGGATTACAAATTCCAGTCACTCAATAATTATTTAGTTAAATAATTTAATTAGTAGTGAAGAGTTGTTCAATTTGTACTATTTTTATGAGTGATTTTCACGAATCAGTTAATTTTCATTGTGTTAACTTGTATGCAAATTTAATTTCCAATGTGTTTTGTTTATATCCGTCAATTGGCTTATAGAGAGAGAGAAAGTAGTTTCAAAATAAACTTGTATCGATCTGGTTTAGGGTTGAAATACCAATTTTGGTATATCTAGGTATCAATAAAGCTGGAAAGCTTATTATTTCTCGTTCTCTCCCTCTGTCTCTCCATGCATTCGCATTCCACACTTCATCCATCGATAAGGAAGTAGACTGTTATATGTGATATTCCAAACAAAAAGGCTGATCACATTTTAATTCAACTAGAATGTACTTCTCACAAAATCAAATTGCCTTGTGTTTAGCATAGTAAAAAATTTGTATTTTCAGGGAGTTGCGGGGATTCGGAAACATTTCAAGTCGTTATTTATCGTAGACTGACATCAGTTAGAGGAACAAAGGAAACCTGGGGGCAATGGACGGCTGTTTCGTCTTAATATGGTACTCCTCAGCAGTGCGCACCCATGACCCCTCCAGGAATTGAACCCGTGACCTTCTGACCCAGTGGCTCAATGGTAACGTGCTGACCACGGAACCTGAAGGTCGCGGGTTCGATCCCTGGAGGGGTCGTGGGTGCGCACTGCTCAGGAGTCCCATCCTAGGATGAAACAGCTGTCTGTCCATTGCTCCCAGGTTTCCTTTGTTCCTCCAACTGATTTCAGTCTACGATGAATAACAACTTAAAAAAATTGTGTTTCGATACTGCTTACTGGTACTTTCTAGAGTCGTGTCAGACATCGATATATCGGTACATCGATAAGATTTCCACCCTTCTTCAGGTTATGGAGCCCAACACTTACCGGTGGTTGACATTTGTCATATTTGTTGACCCGAAGGCGGCATTCACCTCTGTCGGCCATGAGGCAGCGTCTGACTATGAAGAGAGTATCAAGCAAGTATATTACGGTAATTAAAGCTCTCTTCTCGAACTCATGCAACCGTTTATGGCTTATAGTGAATTGTTATCTGAAATGATGATAACTAGTAACATGCGGTAGGGATTCCCACTGTCACAGCTCCTGTTCACCTTCAAAATACATGTATTACTGGACATAAACTTAGATAATTCTGCCTTCATAGGGATTGATCTACTCCCTGAAGGATATCCGATTACTTGGAGTATACAGACGATATTTTCCTGCTGGGGGAAGACGCTGACAAAATGCAGGCTTTTTTGAATACGTTAAACAGAAATCTGATTATGTTTGGAACCTTTCAGATGTAAGATGATGCTTCAAGATTGGTTTGCAGCTACTCTCAGTTTAAGGAAAGGAAGTGAATAGTTTGAATGCGTTGACCACCTGTCTTACTTGGGAAGTTGCGTCTGACCAAACGAGGTGGTTGTTGAGGAAATCTGAGCTCAGATATAGAAGGCCCTATCTGCATTTATCAACTTGCAGCATCTGTGGAGCAGACTGGCGAGATATCCGATTACCTGTTAAAGGGTAGTATACTGCACTACAGTCCAACTTGTCTTGTTGTACGGCTGGGAGACATGGTCGTTAAATGTGGAAGATATGATGCCCTTAAAGGGTTTTATCACATGTACCCTGGTAACGTTGCTCACATTTGGTGGAATCGTCATGTGAGCAATGTCGAGATAAGACGAAGGTTACTAGACAAGTCAGTAAGGTCAATTGATGTGGTTGTCAACCTTAAGTGACTTGGACATGGACTGCGCATACCAAACAACCGCCCACCTTGACGGACTATGCTAAGGAAGGTGGATTAGGTTGGTAGAGGATTCAAGGTGACCACACCAATACCAGTAGATGAAGTCCCAGAGGGTTAGTCTGAGCCATATAGGGCAGAAATAGACTGCCTAGTTATGGTCCCCAAGACGATAGAAATCAGTGGTTGCGGACTCTTGGTAACATGGCTGAAAATCGGTGACAATGGTGCAGATGTATTTCCTCCTTGACATCTTGTGAGGCTTGAATATTCGTAGTAACCTTTATCTTCAGACTGTTTATTCTCTCACAAAACTTTATCTACTTTGATATCACTATTTCTGCATCCAGTCGTTCTTCGTTTACTACTGGAAAGTGTGACTACTTGAACTGATATGCTTCTGTGAGAAGTACTACATTAATTTGTCTGTTTGTTAGTCTAGAGTGGTTTGAGACAACATTTTATTGCTGCATCCTTTCACTGCTTTCCTGAACGATATACGTTTTTTACTTAACTTGTTTAAAGGTGTCAGTTAGGAGTTTATATTTCGAAGGATGAAAGATGAGTCTTCAAGAAAACATAACTTTTTCAGTGTTACAGATATACACTACTTCGGGTACCGTTTGTTGACCGATTTGTTACATACCGAAATTTAGTCTTGCAAAAGGACATTTGTAGCATGAGCAACACAGTGGTAGAGCTTCTCGCCTCACCACTGGGTTGTGCGATTTATAAACTGTGAACGATTTACTTTTTTGAAGGTTTTCCACACGGGTGGCTGATGACTACCCATAAGTGCAAAACTCAGGTCATGCAGGATTTCCTATAGTGTCTGGAAAAGCACGGGATTTCACATCGTGCCAGTTTTGATACAGAAGTTGATTTAACATCATTTATGAGTATCATTTTTATCACAAAAAAAGGTTGAAAAACCACACTGAAGAAAATTCCCCCCTCTTTAAGAAATAAAGTCTTATCCCGGATAAAATACTCCTATCTTCCTAACTAACAGCTTCTACC